GCTTTGACTTGCTGCCGAGACGTCCCCGGGCCAAAAGGAGGAACAAACCTCCTTCGTTTTAGGGGCTGCTCATTTGTTCCCCTCAACAACATCTCGTTTCGCTGTGGCAGCCTCCGGCACCTGCAAACGGCCCTCCTCCCGCCTGCCCCGGCGCTCCTGACAGCCGCCCCTGTCCCGAGGGTGAGGTGTGATCACACGTCGCTACATCTGGCGTGCCAGTGACCACCGCGAGTCATTTTAGGAAGGCCTGACTCCGCAGAGCTAGAAACCAGCCTTTCACAAGAGCTGCGAAGTGAAAACAGCACCTAACATGCTGAGTAAAACATCAGAGGAACCCGCTCAGCGTATGCAAACTCGGTTTGGGTTTCGCAGCCTCGGTTACCCTCGTCTAGTAGTTTCATCCTGTCCACTCAGAGCTACAAAATCCCTTTGAGCCTGGGGGTTCCCCACCGTGCTTCGCTATGCAAAAAAGCAGTTCCTCTTGGTGTTCTTGCTTCATGGAGATCTGCACGGGGCCGGACTGCAGGCCTTATCTTATCTTACCCTGACCCTGCTGACCTTGCAGTGCCACCTAAGCACCTTTCTGCCCTGGTTCAGGAGTCCCTTTGCCAAGACACAAGACAAGAAGGGCTTGGGCACGGCCCAGTCACCAGAGGTGGCCCAGACGCCACACACCCAGTTATCTCCGTCCACCTTGAAAAGTGTGAAGCTAAAGAAACTATTCTGCAGTCTTGAAGGACCAAACTTTCTTTCCTATCATCCCTCCTAGCTTCAGATAAGTGCTATACCAAATGCCCCTGTGGGAAAGCAAGGGGAAGGCATGGAGGGAGCCATTTTGGTGCTAAACACTGCTACGGCAGGGCCAAGGGGAGAGCTGCTCCCACAAAGCAAAGGGTCAAAAAAAAAATTAAAAAGCTCTTCCTTAGTGCTGTGAGAAAGCAACAGATCCATTTAAAAACAACCACCACCACCTAAGATGATGGCTTCTTACAAACAGCTGACACCCCCAAAGCACCGAGAAGCTCTCACACACTCCTTCACCCTCACCGTGCCCACGGGGAGCTCTCTGCCCTGCTCCACACGCAGGCACACACCTTTGCCAGCCGTGTTTGTCCCCGGACACCTGACCCAGGCTGTCAGGCGAGCACAGCACGCAGCCAGCTCACTGCAGCGCTCCCAAAAGCCCGTAACCTCTACACCTCAGCCTGCTGCAGCTTGCCAACCCCAACCCAAGCGGGCTTGCCCTGCCAGAGCCTGCCCTTTGCCTGCCTCGAGCTGGCGAGACCGAGGGGACTCCCTTGGGCACAGCCCCGAGCCCTCTGGCAGCAGAGCCAGCAGCGTGGTGCCAGGCCACTGGGGAGAAGGGACAGTGACACAGGAGCCGTGCTGGCACGGGCACGGACAGCTGGAGGGCTGAAGCATGGCCTGGCCGGCCTGCCAGACAGCTCACTGCTTGCCTCCACAAGCCAGCACGTCCTCACTGCCATGGTATCAGGCACGGATGGCACAACAGGAGTCTGTGTTAGAGCCATCAGCCAGAAAGCTGCACAGGAGACCGGCTGTCTGGGGGTGCACGTGTGGGAAAGGCCTGCATCAGCCAGCAGAGCCAAATCCTGAAGGGGCCAAATCCTAAAGCTCGTCCTGCCTGGCTTCCAGGGGGGCTGTATGGGCTCTTCCAAAGCTACCCAGCCAACAGAGACACTCATGGCACCTGCTGAAGAGGAAACATCCCTTGGTAACACAAGTCATGGTACAAAGCAGATCCTTTCCACTTATTTCCTGGAAGCGCCTCGCTTGGTAGTCTAGGAAATCCCAAAGGACCTGGGACGTGTTCATCTCCAGAGCACTACATGAGAGTGCTGGAGAAGAAGTGGAAAAGTTTTTAGAAGGAGGGACATTTTTAGCTCCCGTGCCCTGGTTTGGAGAGTCCCAAAATTTCTGTACCCACAGGAGGGGTGGGCAGGGGGAAGGCAGACGGGGAGGAGGTGCTATGAGGAAAGGGTGGGAGGTATCTATTTCCAACATTAAAATGAACGCAAGGCTGCTAGCCAAATAAAGTTTTCCAAACTACAAGAATTCGGTTTGTTTAAAAATCACAGGCTTCATTTTCATCACTCTTCTGGATCAGTCTACACTCTCCAAATATTTCTCCACTGAAATGACAAAATTGGCTTTTATTATCCTGAGCTTTTATTACTCTTTTAGCAAACATTACCCACAATTTCCAGTACTTGGATATACCTATCTCAGTTGAAGTGAGCCATCCAGGATTTCATCTGGATTTAAGCATGCAGCCTTTCAGTGCTTTTTTGTTCTTTTTATTGGCATTTTCTGCTCTTAGAAACTACAAATATTAACTCTGATCATCCTGAGTTTTCAGAAACTTTTGCTGGCTATTTCGATTTTAATGTTCATGTCCCACAAGAAGTCTTTCTGAGGATGAATATCAACCACTGAAAGCCTGACTCAAAGACAGCAGAATCATTTAAATAAACCCCCTGCCTGACCAAATCACAGACTTCTATGGTAATGGCTTCTGCCTGAAAAAATTCATAAATTTTCAAGTTTTCTTAGAATCCCTTTGTAGAGATTACAGTATGTAATTTGCCAATACAGTAAGTCATAAGATTCCCCGCCTTACCTTTCCGGGCAAGTGCATAAGGAAACTCTGTAGAGAGTTCAGAAAAATTTCCCCAGTCACTACTCATCTCCCTAGGCAAGTGTTGAAATCGATGTTAGTTAATATATGGAAGATTAGTACACAATCCTAGACTGAGTGGAGTAAAGGAGAGGTCTGCCCCTTGAAACAGGATTTCAGTCCCTGAGCTGAAGGCAGTGGCTAACCTCAGGGATGGCTGGTGAAGTTAGTACTGCACAGACACCTAAGAGCTCACTTATAAATGGCAAAATCATCTGCAAGACATTTTTAAGGTGTGTAGCCCTGGATATGGGTTTGTCTCAAAAGAACATGATGGTTCAATAGCTCATTAATAATCCAAGATATCCATGAAGCAGCTGTGAAGCAGTCAACTGGAAACCACAACACAAGCAGGCAGCAGTCCAAACACACGTCATTGGCCTTTTTAATGTTGTTTAGGGGTTCCGAAAGCATTCAACAGGTGGTCACCTTAGGACGCTTAATACTTGTGGTCAAACTATTCTAGAAACTATGATGTTGCTTTTGTTTTCTTCTTTTGACGCTTTATGTAAAACTCAAGGTGAACTCTATAATCCCAGAGTATGGGTCACCATTAGGAACAGCCAGTTTGGGGAGAAGTAAACAGAAGAAAACAGAGAAAGAAAGAAAAAAAAGCACAAGGGGAAGAAGAACTTGCAGACAGTCATTTAAGTCGAGTTTTAATACCTGCTGAAAACAACTTTTTAAATAAAGTAAGCATTCAAAGGATTGTTACCTGCTCCATATTGTATCCATGCTTCTCTTTAGCAATGGCAATGTATTCGTCCACTGAAAAACAAAGAGAAGACATAAGGGCATTTCATACAATTATCTCAGCTCTTCTTCCCTTCCCAGGCTGAAACACAGTCCTGCAGCTCTGACTTCAGCCATGGTCTTTGTATCCTCCACACAGAACTCACATAAAGAGCTGCTGTTTCCAACCAGTCAAGAAAGGAAGGAAACAAAAGAAAAACAGCCAAACTACTCCATATTGTCCTTAACAAGCTTAAATGATGCGTGATATCCAAGCCAGTTTCAATACTTCCGAAACACAGCATATAATATTTCAAAACAGGTATTTTTGAGCTAAAAGCACAAGCATTTCTCCCATGATCTGCTCCCATTTACTCTCTGAAAGTTTTTCATATCTTCTAGTTTCAACCTCGTTCTCCAGAACTGCAGAGATGTGAGTCCCAACTCTTTTTTTTTTTCTTTTAACCCCCCACCCCAAAGCAGCTGTTTTCTTAAGAACACAACACCCCAAAGACAACCCATACCCTTCCAAAACTGCCAGAATCCTAGCGTTACACAATCACTGCAGCTATCTTGGCAAATTTTTCGGTCCCTGTGCCTCAGCAATTCTCATCTTGGACCAAACCCCACCTCTACATACCAGGCCCCTGCGAGTTTTTTAACCTTTATAACATGAAGATGCCCCGTGGAGTTATATTTTGTACAGACAAAACTAAATCCCAAATGTTTCTCCCAGTAAGAGTGACTGAGCTCACGTTACATCCAACTGCAACTGGATCTAAGGCAGCATCCAGCGCTGTTCTTCCAAAACCCATGTCCTTGCACTTGGCCATTATTAGATATGCCATAATGATAAAACCCTTGAAAAATAAGCTAAAAGTGAGCCTCCCACTTCACTTGACAGAGCAGAGGATGCTGGAAGCATTGGTTGTCTGTAGGATTTCTGATGTGCAAAGCACCTGGAAGGCTTCGAAGAGGTACACGTGGCCCGAGTTCTCACCGGTGTACAAACACTGAACTTCAAGACAAGTCATTAGCAATAAGCTCAAATTCATTCTCCCTTCTTTTTCTGCACACACACGGGGAGGGACGCAACCAAATTCCTGTGCTGAGCATCCAACAATGACGTGGAGAGCACGCACAGCAACTAAGGAAGGAAACAGTTCTGCGAGCACTGCAGCTGAGGAAGCCACATTTCCCACGGTTTGTGCCTCATGATTAACTTCAGCTCTCACACGTGCTGCTCCCATGCCTTTTGCTCCATGAGAACCCGCCGTGACGCACTGCTGTCTAAGAGCAGGGCATTTCTTAAAGCCTCCTCCTCATGCCAGGACACTCCTCGATCCTGTCTTCAACTGGGAAAACTGAGCTCAGAAGTTATTGGGCAAAACAGAGAGGACAGATCAGAAAAGGCACAGCAGCAGAGCACCAGCCTCCTGTTTTCAGCTTGTCAGCATTAGAAACAAATGAAATCCAGGTGAAGCAGACAGCCCATCTTACTAGGCAACACGGCATTTGATACCGATGCCCAGCCTTGATTTGGCAAGATGCACTAATTCATTTTCACACTTTTTTTTTTTTTTTTGCAACACCTTTATTTTGTTAAATGCCATGGAGAAGCCTGTGAGAACACTGACACAGCCGCATGTCATGGCAGGAGAAGAGCACGATGCACGTCAGCGAGGACACCCCACAGAGTTCTTGCTCTCCCCACCCACCTGCACACAAGGGGCACTCCCAAAGGCTGACGAGCCTGTTTGTTGGACCACACTCGGGATGGGTTCACTAGGTTTTATCAGCCCTCTGAGGAAAGGTGGAGCCGCAGCCACTCGGTTGCAGCCCTGCAGCAAACATGCATCTATCTCTCCAAGTTAGCAAGTTGGTTCTCAGGATGGTGCTGGACTGGGATAAAAACCCTCCCTGCTTGCTGACAGCCTCTTCTGGTGTTATACAAACATCACAGAAGAGTTGCACGGCCATTGGAGGTGACAGGATGGTGATAGAGGCTTCTCGGGCTGAAATTGCTGCATTGCTGAATCGAACATCCTGATGGTTTCAGCAGGGTAGGAACCTCTGAAACCAGCCTTGCCACAGGAAGACAGAAAAGGTCACAGAACCACAGCCCGAGGAGATAACAGCATCCAGGAGGACCACGTGGGGACAGCAAAGGGAACCGCCTCTTCACACACCATCCTTCCCTCCACCCACGGAACGAGGAAGGGAAGAGCAGAAGGATGTGGGCAGATGTGCAACTTCGGATGCTCCCAGACTTCATAAGCACACCAAAAGCAGAGGCTGCCAGGAAATCCTAAGTATGGCATTTCCCAGTACTTCAGCTAAGTGCTCTTGGCTTCCTCAGGACAGGTATTCCACATGCAGCGTGATACATTTTGTCTACAGGGGAGGTGAAGGAAGGGAGGAAGGAAAGGAGTTGTATTCTCTGAAGTCCAAGGCTGAATTAAGCCCCTGAATGCTAAGTACTGCTGCATTAACCAGCTCGCTTCACTGGAGAAAAATCTACGGGTCCTGATTTGACTTCAGCATCTTATCCTTTAATATATACAGAGACGAGATGAGGTCATTCTGCTCTCCAGCATATTACATTTCTTGTGCCAGACACCACAGGCAATGAAAGCATTCTTCTCCCCTCCCTTGCTCCCCACCCCTAAAAATCATTACAGCCTTTTCTCTCCTAATCCCAAGATCCTAAGAACATTTGCAAGGATCCCCCACACCAGTGGGATTTTTCTTGAATTAAGTCAGAACACCAGAGTGTCTGCTACCAGCAATCTGCACCGTGAAAGGGGACAGGATGCCTTCCTTGGCATGGTGGGGATGTAACACCTCGGTGTTGTACCTCGCTGCTTCAGAGGAAGAGAGAAGAAAAGAGACAACAAGGCAGCACACCAACCACGAGCAAAGGAGAGCTCTTCCTATCCCCTAGGAGTGTTTGCAGAAGAAAGGACAAGGAGGCCGGCGCTGTGCTCCTGCACGCAGGCAGGGAACAAGCTGACCTGGCTCACTGTGCCTGTCGCTTCTTGGCTAGCTATGGCTCGCTCTGGTGCTTGCACCATCGGGGAGGTCTGGCGGTGTCTCCAGCACTCCCTTCTTTTTACCATCCCCCTCCACACGAGCTGAGCAAGAAAGAGCAGGGCACCGGCTGAGTCACAGGCTCCCTTTCGCCTCCCATACCAGCAGAGCCTGGAGCTGCCACCAGCTTCATGCTTCGCATGCCAGCCCAGAGCAATAAGCGCTCTCTTCCACCCCTGCCTTCCCCCACGTGCTTCCAGCGAGCCCAGGGCAGCGGGCACGTGAAATTCTGCCTTTCAGCAGCACTCAGCCACGCTCGGCGTGCAAGCAGCGATCTGTGCATGCAGCAGGAGCCCGGGGCAGAGCCCTGCTTACACCAGACAAACTTGCCAGCCCAGCAGCCCCGGCAAAAGCTGTGCCACTGCATGTCCCTCTGCCAGCACAACTGCAGCTGAGCAGGGGAGATGGGGACGCCCTCCCCTCCCCTCACACCCAGCCCGGTACTGGAAGTGTTTCTGCACAGAGTGGGCCAGAACGACAGCACTTGGGCAGAGACGGGTGTCTGTGTGACACAGGAGATGCTCGGCTCCTCTGGAGGCTCTTGTTGCTACTAGAAACCAGATGCAGGAGGAGGGACAGAGCAAAAGCACAAACTGGTTTGTTTCTTTACCAGTTGGGCTACGTTTCTTCCCTTATATGTGCTTTAGCTGTGGTGGGGAAGAGCAGGACCCCACGCGCACCCCCTGCCCAGAGTGGAAGGAGCACCCAGAGAGCTGCTTCCTACAGGCAGTCATGTGCAGGAAGGCAGGGGGATAAAAGGTGGGGACACGAAGGGAACAGAGCCACGCACACATCCTCACCAGCAAAGAGGAGCACGGGGTGCTCAGATGCTTTCAAAAAGCACCTCTCTCTAACACAGGGAGGGAGAGCTACAAAAAGATGACCGAAGGACCTCAAACGCAACATTAACACAGAGAAAGGAGATGTAGGGGAACAAGAAAGGGAGCAGAGGAAAGTGCTTCTCCTCCACCATCTAGAAAGAGGAATTTCTGCCCAAAATGGTGCCCTCAGCCCCTTGAACATCGTGGTCTTGTTTCCAGCTGTCTCTCTCTCTCAGCCTTTCCTTCTGCTAGCTGCCTTTCCGCAAGAATTCCTCACTGGAGGCTAAGGGAAGGGGACCCTCTTGGCTGACACGAGCAAACAACTGCATTGCTGATTTTCAGTCCCGCATCCTCAAGCCGTGAATTCAGAGATGTAAAACAGGAGCATTAATTTTGGGCTGGGGGGTGGGAGAGCTCTGAGGAGAGAGACGCCTGAAAGCGATGCCTCCCCTCCTCACCACTTGAGCAGATGAAATGCTCTCTCCAAGTGGGTCTTTGGGGAGAACTGCCCCCACACCCAGCCCCAGCTTGCTTCTTACAGACCCCACAAGTATCATGTTGTGCCTGGTGGACTCAGTGACCCCGAGGAGGGTTTGCAGCAGAGGCGGGAGCGCTAAAGCCCAGGGAACGCACCAGGAATGCAGAGGTAGAGCTGTTGCTGCAACCTCAGTTCACCCCTATTACTGGGGTACTGCAGGAGCTCTGAACACTTTGCATATTACGTGATGCAATACCCTGACAGAACAGGGTGAAATAAGGACAAAAGCAGCAGCCTTCACAGCCTCGGTAATGTGCTTCACGGGGTCTGATCAATGCTGGAACCTGTGAGGGATTTCGGATGCGGCTCTCCATCTCCCCCTCCTCTCCCCCTCCTTTCGGAACAGAAGTCGAGACCCAGAACAAATCAATCTGATATAAAGAAAATAAGGAGCAGGGATTAGACACATACATGTGAAATCCTTCCAATTGTCAAAACACTTGTGACAGTAGACAAACAACTCGCCACAGTTTCTACCTCGGTGTAGAAATGAGCAGCTGCATTGCCGTCCCGCCGCCTCGGTGGAACAATCCTGCCACCTCGTGGCCCCAGCACAGGAGAGGAAGGCAGGAGAAGAGCTGAGCTCAAACAAAGCCGCTCGCTCAAGTGAGCAGCAACAGGAGGCAGTGGGGAGCAGGCAGAGCCCAGAACGAGATGGGCCTGATCACTTTTTCTGGGCGGAATTGGGTATAAAAGCAAACAAAACCCATCTGCTTAAGAGGCTGTTAGTTTTTCCAAGGCATATTTCCTCTCCTTGGCAAGAGGAGCAGGAGAGGGATGGAGAGCCAGGGCACAGCCATGTTTTAGGCCCCTTGCTGCACTCACCTGGGCAGGTGGGTGGCCTCCTTTCAGACTGCTTCTAGGAAGAGAGAGCACTACAGCAACACAAAGGCCACTTCAGCAAGTGAAAGGCATGAAAAGATTTAACTCCACTGTATCTACAGCAGGTGAGGCAAAAGTCTGGAGGCAACTTCAAGCCAAAGAAAAACTGACCTCAGGTGGGGAAGTCACCATGAACTGGAGCAGCAGGGGCAGGGTACCTCGAGCCAAGTGACCACACAGTAGGTCTCAGCTCCCACCCACTTACCTCCCCATGGCTCAGATCCACTTGGCCATCACCTCATGTCCTTCAGCAGCAGGGCCAGGGTGAGCATCCCTCACCCCAGGCACCCTGAGAAAGGCCAGGTCTGAATGGCCCAGCCAGAAGTGGGACGTGTTCCTTACCCCAGCACAGCACGAGGGCAGGGATGAGCAGCAGGCAGGAACAGGCACGGCTGGATGGAAACCAGCACCGATGCGGGAAGTCGCTCCCAGCCACACCTGGAGCCAGGGAGCTGCAGCCTCAGGTGGCAGGACGAAGGGATGCAGTGGAGTGCCCTGCTGCTGAGAGATCTGACCCCTGCAAGCAGCCCTTGTGCCTGCTGACAGTTTGATTTCTCAAAGGGAAACACACTCATGCTAGCAAAGAAAAGCAGCTATTTCCCATCTCTCTTTCTTAATCCTTCTCTTTGCTTTGCCGGCATCTAAAGCTAAAAGCCCAAAGCTGGAGCTCCAGTGATGGTTCAAGACCTGACCCACCTGTCTTTAGATTGTGCTGCAGCAGCAAGAAAGCTGTACCGCAGCCACGGGGGCACTGACACACCCAGCACAGCTTCAGTAGCTCGTCAGAACCCTTTCAAGCTGTTTACCAGGGAAGGCCTTTTGCTAGGATGCACGTTGCCCTTAAAGCTTTTACCAACACAGTCTGGTTCCTGAAGTTGCGCCCTCAGCTGGTGCCAGCACATCAGGAGGGTGGATACTCACTGTAAAGATGCACACGGAGGACTCTGGGGGAAAAGAGACCGCTTCTTGCACGTGGGATGCATTTAAGCTTCAGCTGGAGATTCGCTCAGCCCTGGCATCAGCGCTGCTTTCCTGGAGGGGCAGCACGGCTGTACCTGCACAGAGCCCTGGGCACCTCCTGTGTGCCACAGGGGGGAAGGATGAGGGCGATCTGCCAGCCCAGGGAAATCTGCACCTTTGGGACCCAGCACCAAACAGGCAGAGCCACTCGGCCCACTAGCCTATGAGGATTTGGGATCCCGTGTCAGAACATACAGCAGCACACGGTGCCTGCTGGCAGGGAGGCAATGCTCAATCCCTGTGTGAGCTTCCGAGACGCAGACAAGGAAGTGACCCTGGGGTAACTGCATAGAGCACACGCCTAACGAGAGCAGGCTTACAGCAGAGCAGATCTTTGCACGGTTCAGTACAGGGAGTCCTAAAGCCAGCTGTACCCCGCTGTCAGTCCATGGCCTGAGTTCACTCTGCAGAGAAGCCACAGCCCCAGATTACATACTTCAAGGCAGGAACATGCCCAAGCAATGCAAGTAGCTGCATTATCAATGTGCTTGTCACAACGGGTAGGAGATTTAAAGAATTATTTGATCAGATGGTTCAAGAGACATTAACTTGGATTAAAAGCAGCCTCCCTCACGCAGATTTTATTATGGAAATTACTACTTTTTGCACTCCTAAAGAGTAGCTGATTCCATGCATCGTTTCCAAAAGCCACAGTTCCATAGAACAGCTCAGGTCAGAAGGGACCTTAAAGCCCACCCAGCTCCAACCCCCTGCCATGGGCAGGGACACCTCCCACCAGGTTGCCCAAAGCCCCATCCAGCCTGGCCTTGGGCACCTCCAGGGATGGAGCATCCACAGCTTCTCTGGGCAGCCTGTGCCAGGGCCTCACAGCCTCTGAGTGAAGAATTTCCTCCTAACCTCTAATCTAAATCCCTCCTCTTTTAGTCTAAAGCCATTCCCCATTCTCCTGTCATTGACTGAGCAAAAAGTTGCTCTCCATCTTTTTTATAAGCCCCCTTTAAGTACTGAAAAGCTGCCGTGAGGTCTCCCCAGAGCCTTCTCTTCTCCAGGCTGAACAGCCCCAGCTCTCTCAGCCTTTCTTCATTCACTACTTTGGAAAAAAAAAAAAAAAGTTTGACACACTAACAACAGAGTCAGTGTGGGGAAACAGACTCAGACTAGCAGTCTCATGCAAGGTTCATCCTAGGTCTCATACCTAGGAACATTTCCCAACTCCTCATCCACATGTCACGCTGCATCTGCTGAAATTCATTTTGTATTACACCAGCAGCATGGAAACGCAGCTTTCTGAGCAAGTGAATAAAGTAATTCATGAAAGGAGCGACCTCATACGCAAAAGCAAACAAAAAACCTACCAAAAAACCTAGCACAGAGCAGCCAGTCTGGGTCAGCAGACTGCTCAAAGGCCGGATCAAGCAGCTTGCTGTCAACCAGCCTCCGAAGCTGCCAGTGAACACCCAGACACAAAGCCCTGTAAAGAGGATGAAACCTTCCACGGGGTTCATTTCCCACCCTCAACAAGATTTTGAAGGCTCTTGTCTAAACCCAGAACCGTTGCGTTCCCATTGTGCTAGGAACACGAACTAATAAAGCTCTGCAGCAGAGCCAAGCTCCTTAACCAGCATGGGTAATTCTGCCACGCCACGACCCGGGGCACCCACACAGAAGGGGTGTGTGGGAGCAGAATGGCCATCAGGCTAAATTACAGCTCGTTATTATTGTTACTGATAATAAAACCCATCGCAAGAGAGCAGGAGCCATGCTGACCCCCTTTATAACGCACACAAAAGGCAGAGAAATGAACGATTTGTCCCTTAGCCACCTCCTTGGAGAATGTCACTCGGGCGGGTAGGACGCGTGGGGCAGGCCAGCAGACAGCGAGGGGATAGAAGCCGGAGTCACACTGCGGAGCTGCCCACGGCTGCTGGGAGGCAGCAATGTGCTGAGCACGGAGCTGCTCAGGCAGGGCAGAGCCCTCCAGGTGCGGCCAGCAGCCTCTAGCTCCACAGCAGCTGGAGCAGAAGGCTCTGCTCGGGGATGGTGAGGGGGTCAGGCACAGGAGCAGTGCTTCTTGGTTGAATGTAGGGGGTTGGTGGGGTTGGGGTTGGCTGGCTGCTGCTGGCCTCCCTCGCTAAGTGAGTGAAAAGGGTCTGGAGCACAGACTGCTTCTCAGTGACCCAGAAGAGTTCTGCACTCGAGAACAAGTTGTGACACTAAATGAATAAAGAGAGGGACCAAGTGAAGGCAGCTTGATAATGGATGTGAACTAATCTTCATTGTATTTTCTTAAGTACTGCTGAGATGCTTTTGTTCCTTCTACATATGCAGTTAAAAACGCATTTTGAGATGTTTGGGACTGGACCCTTCTGAGAAGGGGAGGACCTCTTGACAGCAGCACTCTTTGCACTACAGCACCAGGGTGCTGAGAATCCCAAATGACATCTCAGATGTGCTTGGAAAGGCTCCCTTGTCCCCTGGGTGCAAGCACGTTGGAAGGAAGCAGGACAGAGACGAGACAAACACATCCAATGCACAGGGACTGCGTAACCTAGAGGGAGTGACTTACCTTGAGGGTGGCTGTGGCTGTAACCCCCCGCTGTCTGCCCCAATCTCTTGAAAGTTCCCATCCTTGCGTGCTGCAGGAACAGGCCAGCTGCTGGACTAAGGCAGGCCGTGAATGAAGGCACCTAACAAGTGCCTGCTGCAGGTTAAGTCGAAGGGGAATTCCTGGTACCCCAGACAACATGAAAACATGGTATGTGGCCGCTGCTTTCGGCCAGGATTTAGAAGCCCAGACCTTCCTTAGGTTATTATTTATTACTTCCGATGCTTGCCGTGCTAGGAAATTCATAACTACCCCTACCACCATGTGAAAGTGCATGAGAAGCATATGATTGGAAAATAACTTGCATGTGGAGGGCAAAAATAAGAGTACAGGAAAAATAATTAGCAGGAGTGGTTCCTAATTAGAGCAAAGAATGCTAGAACAAACATTATGGAGAGGGAAGCTCTGGCACATGTTCTTGAGAAAGTCTGGCTCTGCCTCCTGCTCTAGCACCTCTGTAAAGGTCACACTCAGCAGCAGGGTGAATTCATCACAGCAACCTTATGCCCGTGACGTCCTCAAGCATTCCTCAGGGAAAGACGTATCCCACAGGAGCTCCTCCCTGCCTGCGCACAGCTCCCATCACATCCCTATCAACACGCTCCTGTTGGTGCTTTTGCTCACCAGCCACCTCCAGGACAAAACAAGCAGTTACCTTCCAGATCCTCACCCTTCTTACTCTTCCCTCAAAGCTACAATAAGAGACATGAGGTCAGGAAAAGAGACCTGCACCGAAAGGCTCAGAGGCTGGAGCACACTCAGCCCAGCCCAGGGCTGGGCCAGGCAGCCCGGCGTAGCTGCAGCCTGCTGCTTCTCGTTACACTGGTCCTACAGCTCACACAGCGCCTCTCAGCCTGCCTAGGACTGCTCCCAAACGCCTTTCAGATCAAGGCTGGCTGCCAGGGTGACTCTTAATAGCGCTATCATCACTCCATTACATCCTCGTCACCTCGTCTCTGAACTTCTCTTAAAAAAAAAAAAAAACGCATCGTGCTTCTTCCGAGCGCCAGCTCTGGTTCAGCCCCTGCAGTCACAACTGTGGTGGCAGCTGGCATTTTCAAACTGGGTCATCTCGCCACGTTTGAGGGCCCGTTTCATACTGCAGTGAAAAAGAGGAACAAACAGGTGGCAGGAGAGAACAAGGCACATGAAGAAACTGGTGACTGCCCCCCCCGCAGCACAGCAGCAAAAATTCCTCCAGGATTACGCAGCTACCTTAGATCAGACGCCCTTTTCCTGGATACTCTCCAACACGTTCCTCTTCTTTGGGGGGTTTGGGGGAATCTGGGCTTTTATTTTTTTCTTTTTGTTTGAAAAAGTCGTCTGTACCTTCGGTGAAACGCATCCCAAACACACACGCTAGTCCTTTTGAACTGAATTGCTTTCCTGGCTCAGACACAAACCCCCTGCTGTGAAAGGGTTAAAGCCTCAGCTTTCATTTAAATATGCATCCCGGATCCAGAAATATCAACCTGCAGTAATAATGATGAAAGAGCTGCTCTGAGATTTCCACACGGCATTGCAACAGCAACGAGCACAGCAGCTGACAAACAAAGGGGAACTGCAGCGAAGTTTGAGGCAACTCAGCCATTTCTGGGATACACCCAGAGCCTTTGAAGCCTTTTTTTTTTTTTTTTTTTGCTGTTGGTAATATCGACACTTTAAGCATCAAAAGTTGCCTCAGCTAGAATGAAATACTGCCTACCTTCATATTTGAGCATTTTTTTTTATTTTTTTTTTTTTTTTTTTTTTAAGTGCAGCAACTGCAGCTTCTGGTGGAAGTGGCCATGACTGTATTATTTCTGTAGCTACACTCGAGCAGAATCCTAAATTAAACACCAGTTATCTCATTTCTGGATTCACGGAGTTGTATTCTTCAGCTATGGCATTTGCATCCAAGCTTCACAGCTGCCAGGTTCGCTGCATAATATGAAATTTGGATTAGGGATAAACATAAACCCAATTCTGCTCTTCCATTAATCCTTTTTGCTGTCACTGGGACAGCCAAGCTGATATTTCTAGGGAAGGGAATGAAGGAGCACATACAAATAGAAGGATCAGAAGTGTTTTTTGCCTTTTTCTTTGCCTTTTTTTTTTTGTGGGGGATTGTTTGTGGGATTTTTGTGTTGGTTGTTTTGTTTCCTTTCTGTCTTCCCTGGAAGCAAGAAAAGGTGAGCATCGAGCTGCAGGCGAGAATTACAACCCCTGAAGTCCACCCCTCAGAGACCTGGAAGCTTTGGATCTACCTGGCAGCTATTTTTAAGGCTAACATTTTTCTTATTCTCAAAAGGAGAAAAAAAAAAATCAGACACAAACAAGAAGAAAAACACCAAATAAAAAAAAGCACAATGCACACACTCCATCTTCCAAAACCACTGCACCCAGCCAGCCCCAAATAAAAAAGCCTGAGCTGGGCTGGGAGTTCAGCAGGACTTTGCTGGCTGGTGGCAGAGCCCAAGCTGCTCCCACTCTCCCACCCCAGAGCCGAGGGGGCTGCGCTCTCAGTGCCAACCCAGCCTTCTGTGGGGTTGCCTTATAAACTAGAGCACTGGGCTGTAACCCTTCAGGCAGGGAGGATTGGAAGGAAGGGGGGAAATCATTAAACCCACAGTTCCAGCCATTTCAAAGACCTCGCTCGCCGTGTTTGGAGAGGAGGGACAAAGCTTTGCTGCTGCTGAACACACGTGGGACTCCATCCTCCTCCCGGCTGCTGCAGGGCTGGCTCCTGGGTACCTGTGAAGCACGAATCCCTTCCACTTCCAATGCACCCTGTTAAACAGAGGTTTCATTTTTTAAAAGGGAATTTTTAAGATTGCTTTTCCCAGTCTCGTCTCTCCCATCTGTGGTTTTCCGCTCACATTCACTTATTGTGAGCGCACCCCATGCTCCAAGGAAATAAGGAAAATGAGACCTGATGATGGCAGCTAACGGAGCCGTGTGTCCACGCTGAATTCACAGGCCAAAATAAGTGAGCCGAGGGGGAAAGGATACGTGGAAGCAGAAGCCCTTCTTAGAGCCGTTTGGCTAAGCTACCCACTGAAAACAAACCCAACACAGAGCATGTGGAGCCTTTTCAAAGCCACGCTCAGCGCCTTGATAAGACAAATACTTCCCTGTCCTCTACTCTGTTGTTTTAGGTTAGAAAAGCCAGATTAAGGTGATTTTCAAGCTTGTGTCACATCCTCTTAAAAGAGAAAGGGAAGAATAACCACAGCTTGTTCTATGCACAGATTAACCCTCGAACCACAGCTCGAGACAGCCTCCAGTCGCTCAGCAGCAGCCAGCCCTCCGAAATCTGGGATCCACTTCCTTGTGGCACCTGAGGATGGTTACCAAAACTCTCACCCACGAGGCAGCAGCAGGCAGGCTAACAACCAGCACTCGCTCACAGCCTCTGGCAGGACCCAGGCTTTGAGCTCCCAGAGGCCAGCTTGGAGCTCGCAGGGCTGGGGCACCGCTGCTGAGCAGGGACACGTCCCTCCCCTTGCCAAAACGCACCCCACAGGGTTAACATCCCCAGTAACCATGGCAACCAGCACTTCTTCCTCCATCAGAGCCTCAGCTGGCACTGCTGCCTTCCCAGGATCGGGTTTTGCAGCGTGTTTAAGGCCCCCCCAACCCCTTTTGTCCCCAGCCAGGGGTTTGGCTGAGCGCATGGTGAGGGTGCTGGAGCACCTGCTGCTCAGCGTGACCGGCTTGCCTTCATCCTCAGGAGCCTTGGGCACATCCACCACACTGCCCGGGGAACAGGGGGCTGCCTGCGGTCTCCCCAGGCACGCCAAAGCAGGCGTAGGGTGAGGCAGGAACAGTCCCACAGGCAGGATAACAGAGGGAGGGCTGGGGAGTGCCCGAAGCTGGAGCACTGATCCGTCAGCAGGTCAAGCAGAAGAGCAGGGGACCCAGCTGGCAGCCCTGAGCTGCCCTCCCGGGGTGCTGGGGACAGGGCCGCCTCTTCAGCACCACCCAAAAGCTGCAAGTCCACCGGGGACACCCACCAAAACATCCCGATAATGGTCAGGAACCAAACCTCACATCCAGGGCACGTGTGTGCTGTCAGGAAGAGAGCAGACAAGTGACTTTCAAAACAGAGCTTATCGCAAGCTAAACAAAGCAGCTTTCTCCTCTCGTCGTTCACCTTTGAACTACAGATGCATAAAAGCCCTCATCACATCCTATTCTCCCGCCTGCTTTCCACCCCTTCCTCCTGGGCAGCTGCAGCGTGCCAGCACTTGCTTATTTCCAAACCAACCCAGTGCCATCGTTATGGTTCCACCCGTTGGAGCTCTTGGCACGGCGACAGACACACTGCTGCGGTATAAATAGCTTCGTGCTGGCCCAGCTCGCTCCCGTGCAGGATCTCCGCAGCACCCTTACAATGCATTTTTCACTGCCTGCCTCTCCTTCCCCACCTCCCACGTGCCAGGCAAAGAGAAGGCTGCCCGTCTCCCACCAAGCTGCTCCTGACCCCCTCTGGGGACTGTTGTGACCCCTGAAAGCGGAGCCTGACAGCAGATAAGGACCAGGCTGGCAGCATTCAGCTTCAGTATCAATACGGGGCAGGGCAGTAAGCGGTTTGTACAGGATTAATGGTTAACGAGGCACAGGATAAGAAAGTGAGCAGTAAGCCAACATATTTATGTTTGGCTTTGTGTGTTGTGGGTTTTTTTTCCCTCTTTTTAAATCTTCTCCATTCAAATCTTATCCATTATTTCATGGCATCCAGGCAATCAGTTCCTCCAAGGTTCCACAGAACTGCTCTGCTTGTGGGACCTACCAGCTCTGAGCCATCACTAACCTGTGCTGCAGCAACTTCCATCTTCACACGGAGCCCCAGGAACACAGCAACGTCCCAGGACTCTTACCACAAGAGCAGGATGGATGAAATCCTAGCTAGGATTCACAGCACTTACAAACCAAGGGGCTACACCAACCTTCTGGAGACCCCATCTCCTTCCATTCCTGCCTCATATGGCTGATGATTTCCCCCTCCAAGGATAACACATCATAAAAACCCATGGTTTAAAAAGGCATCAAGAAACAGGGAATCCTTCACTTCCCTGGATAACTTCCAATAGTCAATCAAAAAAGTTAAAAAACACACTCAGGAATTTTATTTCAGTCTCTGCGGACTTCTCTTGCAGCCCTTTATTTACATTATATACATCTTTTACTATGTCAAAATTCCCCTTTGAGAAAATTCAACAGTCCCCTTTCAGTCTCTACTCAGTAAACTGAACAGATGGAGTTTGCTTCGCCTTCAGTTTTCAAAAACATTTCAGTAGCTTCCATTCTCCATTCTTTTCTCTCATTTTCCATACTAAAGCCGCTATTCTGAAGCCTTTTTCCTGAATGCTGCAGGACTGAGGCAGCAAACCACTCCAGTTACCACCTCATTTTTTACCCCCACATCATCCTTTGGGGCCAAGCATGACATTGGCAAGCCCTTGCCAAATTACCTGCCCACTGTGCCCCTAGAATTGCACTCCAAGCTAGTTCTTTCCAGACATCAGTCTTGATAAAGAAGGTAAGACCAGAGCTTTCAGCGCAGAGACTTGTAACTCTGCAGTCGGGTCATTAAGAACCCACTGCATTGGCATCAGTTCAAGCTAGGAAACAGACCCAAAGCACTCTGTAAGGCAGTGTTTGCTTTATTTATCATCTTGTCAATCTATGGCTTACCCTCAGTTTCTCTCCACAGCAACCCCGTATCAACTCCGGATCTCTGATGGCAGCGTGGATCATCAGCCCTATTAGGCATTCTCACAGACCCCATTTAATTAGGATTCACCATCAGCAAATGCCAAGACTGGGAAGTGAACACCAGAACAGCTGAAGAGACTTTCTGTCCCCAGTGCTCCTTGTTCATAAACCACGATACAGATTAGGGAACTCTGCATGCCATACACCAAAATGCTCTACAGACTTTGCAGAGCACTGCACTGCTTTGTTCTTCATAGCTCATTTTTGGCTAACGCCAGGCAGAGGTAGGAATAACTGATACTTCCTTCAGTATTGTCAGCTCAAACTGAGCTGAGACAAAGCACTGCCCACTCTTACCTTGTTCTTCCTCTCTACCTCCCTGCAGAGCTGCCCTCTCCCCACCTGCTGGAGAGTTCCTACCACCCCCAGGCCCCTCAGCCACCTCTCCCAGTGATCCTTGGCTGCTTGCTGCTACCAGATGCTGTTTGACAACCACATCCCCACAGCCAGCTAGGTGCCCTGGGAGACCTTGGTATGTCACGTATTGCACAAGAGGATCATACTTCTTCACCCCCAAACACCGTATGAAATATTCATTCATTTTTTTCTGTATCTTTCTGGAAGGTAAAATCACTGATGTGCCTACGCTGTTGCTAAAATTTTAATCAAGTCTTATGAGAAATTTTTTCTTGCCCTCGCATTCACAAGTTTTCCCCAACTTTTATTGTGCCAGCAACAGTCAACTGCTATGTAGTTTTTAAATCAGTCATACCACGTTTTTCATTTCTTAGGTTCATTACATCTTAACAGATATCATATCCTTTTTACTCTGTAATATACTTGCATATTTTGTGCCAGTTACCACGATATTGAGTTGAAGATTTTACTCAGTTCCACAAATCCTTTCTTTTCCTCCTCCATTCTCTCCTCCGTCTCCAAGAAACACACTTCCTATCAGACAAAAACTAAATGCTCCAAAGCACAGCTGAGGTTCAGAAGACTCTCAGACCTGAGAGGCAGCTACAGGAATCCTGTGTCACAGATGACCCATGCAGCCTTGCCTCCTGGTGGAATCATCAGTTTCTCACTCTTACACACCTTCACAGGTTTCTAGCTGTAGATAACTGTCAAATATATCTCTCTCCTCATCAGTCTTACTTAGTTCAGCATGCAATAGCCAGCAGAGAGCAGACAAGACACCACTGGTGAGGGAGAAGGCAAACATGATCCTTGCAAAGCCCTTTTTATCTGGGGATCATACTACTGTTATCCTTTTATAACTTAAGGGGCAACTTCCTCAGTGGACCAAATGCCCCAGGGCAGATCCCAGCCACTTCTTGACAGAGCCAGTTTATGCAGCCTCTGCGGCCTTAATTAGCAGAGGCCTCACAATGGTGCAGTGATGCATCTCAGCCCTTGGGCCTAAGGAAAAGTCATCTATCAACTTAATACTGCCACCACAAACATCTGCAGAGGACAAGCATGTAAGGTTCTTATTCTTGGTCCCGGCTTCAGAAAGAAAAAAAAAGATACAAGCATAACATCAAAAATAAGCTCTTTCAGCTGCCTCCCCTAAAAACGTTTAGCTTTAGTTACTGCCTCCAAGCAGCAGCCCTTTAATCAAGGAGTCCCACTTATTCACGAGGACAACTGTAGCTAGACAAACCTTTCAAAAGCTAGTTCTGCCATCTGGCAACAGCACTGAGACTTGTTCCCAAATACACACACAGAGCTGGTAATTGCCCTCACGTGGAATTCCAAGGCACTGCAATTGTTCTGGCATTTAAACCTCCACGAGCTCCAGATGTGAATTTCATTTGTGGCTTTATCAGAAAAAGGTACTACAAATTGCCATAGATTTCTGCCACCCCGTAATTCTAAAACACTTTTCATTTTGCTCTCAGCAGTTATTTCTGTCATCTTCTGTGGCACCAGCAAACAAGATCATGTAGGCCTGAGAGTAAGTATCTTAAAGAATTCATGCCAAGGAAAAAAGCGTCACATTTCCCCTGCTTTCCCTACTTCCTTGTATTTGCTACACTGAACAACTGCCTGAGGGGAACAAAGTTCTTCTGGAGGGTTGCTTTGTAGGCTTTTCTTCTTTTCCAATGCTCAAATTAATTTCAAAGCATAATAAAAAGGTCACAGACATAACCTCTCTACTGAAAGTGGCACCTTCACATTCTGTAAGTGATACACTTAAGAGAAATGGAGAAAGAAGAATTTGAAGAGACTTACGTTTTGCTTCAGAGAGATTCTGATTAGGCGACCAGACCAGCATGCCGAGGTTCTCTCTCTCCTGACTTCGTCTTGCAAGTTTGGCTTAAGAGAAAGCAGATACAATCCAAGTTATAGAGAAAGTCGTTTCAGATGCAAAGTGTATACAAAAGTAACTTATCACACATCTGCAGCTTTTAATCAAGCTACGAAACCCTTCTGTACAGTCAAAGCCCTATCTTCTCATTCAGACCTGAGGCTTTTCCTTATGTGTTTTTTTTTTTTCAAGGCATCACCCCCTGCATAACATGGCAGATACCGCACACTCACTCTTTCATGCAGCGCACTAAGAAGCATATGTTAGATCTAAATTAAAAGTTAATTAATGTTTCTCTACCAGCATACTTGATTATTTTTCTTCCAGCCACTGTTAAATGAAAAAGGGAGGAGCCAGGCTCAGGCGGCAGGCTCTGAGCCCTTAGTATCATGAGACATTACTGTGCACTTAGATTAACACTTCAGGGTAGGCACACGGATGAAGCTAGTTTCAGATTTCACTTCCTCGAGCCTTCTCCCCCATCCATCCCAACAGCCCTGCTGTGTCTCCATCCCCCATATGTCTGCACACCCACCGGGGGAACACTGGGTGTCCCAGAGCAGAATCAGGCCCTCTGCTCAGCCCATTCAGAGCAGCTTTTGTGCATCACACCCACGCTCCTGAAAACGCGTCCGTTTTTAGCCACCTTAACACTTGTTGAGCTTGAGAGCACTGAAAGTCTGAAGTGAAGAACCACAGCTGCACGTACTTTGAAGAGGAACCTCAAGGTAAAGGTTAAGTTTCAACAACAAGTTCTCGTGAATCTGCTGTTCTTGGGTGATGAGCAGTCAGAAGAGGAGGAGGAGGAGAGAAAGAAACTTGCCCTGTTGAGTCAGCACGCCCAGCCAGCTCAACCACCCGCCCTGGCCAAGAGCAACTTGCAGGTCTTGTTATGAACGGCTGCCTGCAGTACTACTTCCACTACAGAACTTCACAACGCTCAAGTTTTATGCAACGTTTCAACACGACGCTATTTTCTCTGTGCTGCACGATGAGACACAGCCACCATTTCACGATGCACTGAAAAACACCACAACAGGAGAGAGACGTTCTGCATCCTCTGATGGAAGACGCAGTGCCAGGACCCTCCTCTCTCAGGGCACGGGTATGAAATCAGGACATTATCTGCTCCTCAGTCTCTGCTGTGGCAAAAACAGAAGCCTGCCAGCACCCAGCCTTCTGACCAGATCAGAAAGTTCAATAATTACAATACTATGAGCACTCACAGTTTGATTACTGTTTTTAACACTAGGTCTGCTCAGCTAATACCATTTAGGGATAAGCAACAAAGATACTTTAACAAGTTTAAAGTAATAATATGCATATATAGCAAAAATAGCATGTACAAAAAAAACAGGCCAGTAACATTTACACAATTAAAATTTGACTTTCAAATACCCAGAGTCTACCTTACTTCTCAAGCCTCGCCAGAAAACGAACTTATTTTCACTACTGATTTCTTAGAATTAATATCCAAACATCGTGATCATCTTTTAAAAAAAGGAAAAGGCTGTGTAGAAGGGTAGCAACTGCACACCCAAGGTGTTTTGTGCACTGTGCACAATCGTTGCTTTCTACACTAGGCAGAAAACCAAGAGTGAGAAAAGACGAGATGGGGGGAGGAGACCGGGGCTATATATAGAACAGAAAAGGTGTCTGAATTTGTAATTACATTTCTTGAACTTTACAAAAAAAATTTTCATACTTCTGGGATTAAATTTTACTTTTGCCCCCTACCAAGTGTAAGTTAGAAATGCAAAGGAAGAGGCAGCTTTAAGCCTCTTTATCAAATTTCACTCCTCACTCTCCCTACAGCAGTCTGCCCTGCCATTCAGTGCAGGGTATGAAACAGACAGAAAGAAGGCTCTCTCCTCACTTGGCATTACATTGAAAAGCACTTCCACATCCCAGAAAAATGCTCAAGGGCGGAAATCATCAGGCAGGCCTCCAAGAAGCTAAACCCTGCCAACCCAAACCCCACACCCCTCCCCATGACTGTAACCCATCCCCAGTTAGGAGCCTGGCACCCAAACTCTGCCAGCGAGCCTTCACACCATGGTGACCCATCGGCCTGGCTCACTAAACCGGCCAAAACACCTAATCCAGGAGAAGGGAAAGGGTCTCCCCCAGTGCAGCAGGCTGTGCCTGCTCCCTAAGGCGCCCAGAGGCTGCCACACGCAGCGCAGAGCCCGGCTGTCCCCTCAGCAGGCTGGGCCCTGAGGGGAAGGTAACACAAAGAGGCCACCACGGCCATCCCCAAAACCTGGGAGGTGGTGAACAGGGCAAGGTGATATTGAGGGACTTTGTGGCATCAAGGTGGCCGGTGAAACATGTTCCTTGCCCTCCTTTGCCAGGGGACTGCTTTGCGTTAGGGGCTGCCCATGTCCAACCCTTCCCTCTGGCCAGGATAAATCTCTCACTGGGCCTCACTTGAAGAGGAACTCCCTGCAAATCATTGAACATCGAGTCCAACGTGGGGCGTTGTTCTGTCTGCAGGATCCCCTCCTGCCCAAGTACCACAGCCCCGCTTCTTCCCCTCACCTCCCACCACCTCAGCCGCAGCCCAAGCACACAGACGTCCCTCAGCAGAGCCCAGTGCGAGGCACACCAGGGTCAGGTTAAAACTCTGCAAAGGACAGGCACGCCTACAAAGGCCAACATCAGATGACATGGAAGGCAAACACCCCAGAGGCTAGGATTCCCTCCCTAGCACCACGTATGACTTAGCCCTGTATCCTCCTCTCCATCAGCCCTCAAAGCCCACAGACCCTCGCTCCCCATCCCCAGAAGGCAAGGCAGACCCAGCACCTATCCCTCCTAGCAGCCCAGTGCTGACCCCCGAAATACAAGCAGCACCAGGACTCTTGCTACATGACAGCAAGGAAGAGCTTAAGAGCTTGCTCAGAGTTTGGAAGCATGTGGAAATGGTTATTTTTGAGCAAGAACCATCAGGAGAGAAGATAGGGCATGGCACAGCTCTTGCAGAGCAGTTCTTGCAGCCCTTTTCTGCATCTTTCCAAGCACAGCACAAGGCCCACCAAGATGGGGGAATTCCTTCCCCCACCCCCTGCTTCCACACAAAGGTTAACAGGGTGAATTCAAACACTCCACACTTCAGTGACAAAGCTAAAAAGCTACATTACTTTAATCCATTATGTATTTTACATTAAAATAGTCACTTAAGGAGGGCAAGGGTTACTCTTTTTAGGGTAACATCAATTTAGGATCAATGAGGTTTACTCATTTAAGCAAGTGCAGTTAAACCAGTGCAACCTGTGTTTAAAGAAGCTGTATATTGGCAGAAAGATCATCTGACATTTCAGTTAATCCTGCACTTTCATGTATACTACCCAGTAGGTATTTGTAGAGTCTCTGCCACAGCCATTAGCTCCCTATCACAGATGATACAGGAGCAAACAGTTCCAAATCGTGTCCCCACTGCAGGCTCTCCTGTTTGTCCCAAAGTCACGGCTCAGAGGAGTCACGGATCCTTCCTCCTGTCCTTTGTCCCAGTGCCAAAACCCACAGTGGATGCAAGTTCCCATTGCCTCCACCCAAGCAGAGATGGGCAGCCCCCCTGACCAGGCACAGTACCACGGCTCTTTTCCAGAGCTGTCCCCAGAACATGCTCCTACCCCATTTCCTTAACCACACAGACCATGTGTGATGAACCATAAACTGAACCAGAAGAGGGGGTTGATCCAGGTTAAAACTCACTAAGAAAAAACACAAGATGGAGGTTTCAACCAGCAGCAGCTGACTCTAAGAGGCATTGGGGTGATTTAAAACAAAATATCTTGCTCCTGAGTCTTTAAAGCATCTCTCTACCCTGCTGTGAAGGCTACTACAAGGGACAGCCTCACTCCCAAGCATGTCTGCACAATTTTCACTTGCACACAGAAAGGTGTCAGTCCTGCTCTCCCACCACCACACAAGTTTAAAGCCTCAGAAGTAAATCCAGCTTAAGGTCAGCCCACACCTGAGCAATCCCAGCTCGTACACAAGGCAGAGAACAAAGGAAAGTGAAAGTCAAGAGACTCAAAAAACCCTCTTACAATCCTCCCTTCCTCCCTAGAGCCACGTTCCACTGCATTCACTCCAAGTCAGAGAGCAGAGGTTTGGCCCTTCCAGGACCCTCAGCAGAAGCAGGATAGAAGTGATGCGCACAAGTTCCTTGCAAGGAACTTCTTAAATACACTGAGACCCAGCACCCTTGCACGTCCCCCACTATCATTTTACTTGCAAGGTCAGGACCTCCTCCTCACACCACGAAACACAGCCCCAAGCCAAAGTCAACAAGACCACGTACTTCCATAGCAGAGGGACTGGGTCCCACAATCCCTGAGCAGCACCCACAGCCTGATGCCATACACGAGCACCTGGCATCTTTAGGGCTTCCTGCAGATAGCACAACTTTGTTTTCTACGCGAACTTACGCTGCACCGGTGCTAGAGTCAGGACTGTATGAATAAGGTCAGTGCTGAATGTGCTGCGGAGTTTGTCATCATGAATACATTTGTGCTGACACGAAACCACAGGTCTTTGTTCAGGCTCTCCCAGAGCACAGCGAGAGCAACGACACACGCGTGCCCTGCAGGCTGCGAGCCACCACGCTTGCAGAAAGGCTGCCAATGAAGCAGGACCAGGAGCAAGAAGCGCGCTTCTCTCCCAACCTCTGCCAGGGTGCTGGGAGGCCAAGATGCCTGTTAGGAGAAGGAGGTGGACACATCGCCAGACAGGAGCTACCAAAGGCCACCGATACCACACAAAGTGTCAGAGGCACTAAGTCTCCTCCACAGGGCACAGAGCCCTCTTCATGGCTGACCCCTCCCGGTCTCGGTGAGCCATGGAGCAGCTGAAGTCAGGAGAGCAGGAAAGCTGTAAAAACACCGCTCCCTTATCCCACCTGCACCTCCGT